ACGAATTCCTAAGGTAAATTCTTTAAAGTCAAGTCCCTTTCCCTTTAACATATTGGCACGTTCTTCCGAGTAGGAGGAGTAAATTTGAAATATGACCCGATTTAAATTATTTTTGTAGACTTTACTTTTAGTAAAAAGATTTTAAATTGAAAAACGGTAAATATAGAGCCACCACGGCCACTACGGTCCAATCGTTAGAGGTCCGCATTATCACTCTGTAGGTCCATGGGGAGAAGATTCTTGGTGGGAGAAATAGGAAAAAAAAAAATTTGAAATCAATTTACCATATCAATTCAGTTGTTTATGTAGTAAACTTGTAAGGATTAAGACAACTTATATGCTTACGTATGTACAAATACTGTCATTAAGGAGAAAGGAGTGGAAATATGTTTACTTCATTGACATATCAGTAACTTCAAGTAAATGCTTTAGAAATTTCCCACATATCTGACAGACTATAAAATTATCTCACCTAACAGGCGTTAAGTGCCAAATGTCAATTTTTATATCTATCGATTAAAGATAAGGTATATAGCATTTTCAGTTTAAATGAAACCATTTTCAAATTAAGCGAAACCTTTTTTAAATTTAATGAAACCTTTTTCATGTTAAGCGAAACCTTTTTCAAATTAAATGAAACCTTTTTCAGATTCAGTGAAACTTTATTGAAATTAAATGAAACTTTTTTCAAATTAAATGAAACTTTATTCAAATGAAATGAAACTTCTCTTTTGGATTACTTTGAATTAGCTGTTACGTGTTGCTCTCCCTTACGGTCAAGGCATGTTAAAAACAGTGTTGCCGTTTCGGTCCAATTGGACCAAAATTGGTGGTTTCATTTCTTAAAATAAAGCTCTGGTAGGTTGGTTGGTTTGCTGTGATTTTCGAGTGGTTTTGGTAACTAGGCAAATCATATAATTTATTCATTTCATAAAACTTCAAATATCTCTGTTTTCGGGAGTACATGTAAAGGATGATGTGAAAAGGAAAAGAGAAATGGGACATGTCAAAATTATTCTTGAACCGAAGTTGAATGTTGTCGTGATTAGACTGTGCTCTAATCCATAGACTTTGTTTAAGTTAAAAGAAAATAATTAGACAATTGTTATGCAAATGCCAAAGTTTACATTTCGCTTAAGCGAGTGAGTGAGAAGGGAGAGTATTTGTGTGTGTTTTTACGTAGAAATCAAAAACCAACAGACTTCTACGTATGTAATGCTGTGCGTTGGGTAACAGCTTACACGCGAAGCTCATTTAACAGATTCCTTATGTGACAACTCTCAAGCAATGCCAAATATGCATAACAGAGCCTTTAGTGTTAGCCAGACATGGCGCAAACGGCTAAGAAATTTTGCAACTTTTGAAAACAGCTATATGCAAACGAGTAGTAGTAATAATAAGCAATTAAGCAACCACATATGTATGTAAAAATATCTTTATTATTAATGTTAATTGTAATTTTTATTCTTAATATTGATTACTAACTATTTATATTAGGTTAACAATGTATTTTGAAAAATAAATTTTGCAAAATAAAAATCAAAAAAAATTTTAAGATTTTTTATTTAAAGTTTTTAAGGTTATTTTGAATTCGCTGTGAAGAAAATGCAACCCTGCGCCAGCTGAAGTGGGCAATGCTAGACGAGTGCAGCTATATGTTTTCCTTACGAAGTATCTGAATGAGTGCGACTGTGATGCAAAGCTCACACGTACAGGGGGAAAGTGGTGACAATCTGCACACCGCCCATACAAATGTCACCAGTTTTGTCACCAGTTTTGAAGTGACCGAAACCCGCGGTTTCACCAGATTTGTCACCACTTTTGGCTGGCAGGGCTGTTAGGTGAGATAATTTTATAGTCTGTCAGATATGTGGGAAATTTCTAAAGCATTTACTTGAAGTTACTGATATGTCAATGAAGTAAACATATTTCCACTCCTTTCTCCTTAATGACAGTATTTGTACATACGTAAGCATATAAGTTGTCTTAATCCTTACAAGTTTACTACATAAACAACTGAATTGATATGGTAAATTGATTTCAAATTTTTTTTTTTGCTATTTCTCCCACCAAGAATCTTCTCCCCATGGACCTACAGAGTGATAATGCGGACCTCTAACGATTGGACCGTAGTGGCCGTGGTGGCTCTATATTTACCGTTTTTCAATTTAAAATCTTTTTACTAAAAGTAAAGTCTACAAAAATAATTTAAATCGGGTCATATTTCAAATTTACTCCTCCTACTCGGAAGAACGTGCCAATATGTTAAAGGGAAAGGGACTTGACTTTAAAGAATTTACCTTAGGAATTCGTCTTGACATAGATAGTGCATTTAACAAAATATTTTTCTAGATGCAATAGTGAGGTCACTTTTTCAAGTAGCTCTGGAACGGCCTCTGGTGGAACTTATAAGGCGTCTTCTTTCGAGAAGAACTATTTTCTCATGGTTGGGTGGCGCGTGCATTACCAGGTATGCAACAAGAGGTACGCCTTAAGGAGAGGTTCTCTTCCCGCCTACTCTGAAACCTTACTATAAATTTAATTTGCCTCAGACTATGGAATAACGGCTGTCACGTCATATAGCCGACATTGCAATAACAGCAACAGGAAAATATTTCCAAACGCCAAGCGAACGTTTGCAGAGCGCTTTCTGTCTCTATAATAGCTGGTCGAGGGAGAGTGGACTCAAGGTGAATTCCACCAATACCAAAATGGTCCTAATCACGGTCAAATATATGATACCATCTTTTCTAAATGGTGTGGGAATTAAAACGTCCACCGAGGTTAAACACCGCGGTATAACTCTTGATAGGAAGTCGTACTGGAATCTCAACCTTACGAAACGATGTTGGAAAGCCGGTGTGGAAGGTCGGACTTCTATTCAGGGTCTAACGCCACCTTCACCGATGGGTCAAAGCTCGACAAAGAGTTGATAGCGGAATTTACTCTAAAGACCTCTCACTAAACGTAGCGTTTTCCTCGCCGAGGTAACAGTTGTGAGGGAGGTCGCCTTATGGCTTACATAATAGTGCCGCAACTTTTCTACAGTCCGTTACCATTTATTCTGACAGTGAAGCAGCCTTTAAATCTCTAGTGTGCACCAACACTTACTGGAAACTGGCTGTAGAAAGATTTTAGTTAAGCTAGCCGCAAAAATGACCATTACCGTAGTAAATATTAGTGTCCAGGCACAGTTAAATACCTGCAAACTGTGCTGCAAACGAGGTTGCAACGGATGGAATTTGCTCCTTCTAGAGCACAATCTCTGCCACTGCTTTGCTATAATAAGTTTNACCCACACTTACTGAAAACTGGCTGTAGAAAGATTTTAATTAAGCTAGCCGCAAAAATGACCATTACCGTAGTATTAGTGCCCAGGCACAGTTAAATACCTGCAAACTGTGCTGCAAACCAGGTTGCAACGGATGGAACTTGCTCCTTCTAGAGCACAATCTCTGCCACTGCTTTGCTATAATAAGTTTGCGATTTATTATTTTTAACTAAAAAATTTTAAAGCGGGCATCCGCGACATTCGATGCTACGTTAAGGAAACACGATGGTTCAATCACACGCGACACTGAGGGAAAGAAACAAGAGCTCGCAATTTTTTGATTTACAAAAAAAAAAAAAAATAAAACAAGTAATTTTTAGCCAAAAAAAACCGACTTCAACTCTCATATAAAAAAATATATATATATATATCTCATGATCCACTGATCGGATCTTAACCAGATTAGTATGGGACCACCTCTGAGACACTACCTTTCCGATGCAAAAAGAATTATCGAAATCAGTTGGCGTGGTCCAAAGTTATGCGGTAACATACATAAAAAAAGAAAAAAAAATATATTAAAAAAATATTCCGACGAACTGATAACCTCCTCCCTTTTTGGAAGTCGGTTAAAAATAGGGGTATGTTTTCCGACTTTACTGTTTTGCCTTTACATAACGTGTATGTAGTTCTGAATACTGTACGTGCTTTAAGCATTCTCTCAACTTCATATACAGAACAAATGAATACGATTTTAGGAGTAAAATGACAAAATAGTACAAATCAATTGTGTAATCAATACATAATAACACATCAACACATACATAAATAAATATATGTGCAAATTTCCAAGCACCAAAATCGATTTTGCTAATGATAAGCTAAATAATAATAAGTACATATACATACATACATATATGATTTAAGTAAATAAACTGTGTTGCCTGTGTGACAGCCATCTCGCTGAGTACGCGGGGTGTCCACTTGGCATGATCTTGAGAATGTTTTACGTGTGATGGATTACCCCCAACCCTCCCCGTATATTTTTGCTTTATAAATAATTTGATTTTTTGCGTATGGTGTTTATTAATTTGTCAATTGCAATTTGTTGACTTCAGTCGCTGGTGGAATTTAGAGTTGTGAAGTGGTCGCTCCTTTTCGAGATTTACAAATACTTATTTTACTCGTATAACAGTACATATTATTTTATTATTATTTTCTTTTTTGCAATGTCATCGAGTTCAAACAAATTCACCATTTATGGTGTCCTTTTGGTTATAGTGTGCGCTGTACAACAGCTTATGGCTGCTGATCAAGCTGTCGATCCAGCATTGCCCCGCACTTGTTATAGCTGTGAAGGTATTAATTGTTTGCGCGTGACAAAGTTGAATGTTACCACGGAATGTGAGGATCTACTGGATTATTGTGCCACCGTGTTTAGAGGATGTAAGTGAGTAGCAGTAAAAATGTACATATGCGATACTAAATATTAGGTTACGGACAGAAAAATTCGTGATGTGCAGTTGTTGAGCTGCTCGATGCTATGATTTCGATCCATTTTGTTAACGTATTTAAGTGGAAATGCAAATGATTCCGGATTTATAAACCGACTGGAGATTTAGATACTCTTCTTATTGAAGTAGCTAACAAAGTCTAGCGTTGTCGTCAGGTTAATTTAACGGAAGGTTCAGGAAATGAGTTCTTTCGACGTATTCGATCGACGATAAAGAGCTGTGAAATGAGTCGGTTGAATATATACAAATATGTGCATTAGGGTGGTCCAAAATAAGTAAAGTCGGAATTCTAATGCTCTTACCCCCTAGGATTGTTCTATATCGAAAAAACATATATATATAAATCAAAAAATAATTAGAGGTCGCCCAAAGCGCTCAAAGTTTTCCATGTATTTTATATGGGAAAAAATAACTTTTCGTAGAAATGGTATGGAATTCTTGAAAATCAATATTTTTCGATCGGAAAACCCTGGTTCTCTTTAGGAGACTTTCAATAACAATACCCACTGCATTTTCTAGGGATTTTGGCGGATCTATGAAATATAGTTACTATGAAAGAATGGTAAAAGCATTTTTTGAGAACCTTTTTTGTGGCATAAATGCACTCGAAGATTTGCCATTGCATTGCCATTGAAGCAACATTTTTTAATTTAGAGGTTGACCGGACCAGGGATGGAACCCAGGTCCTACGGTCTGTTGGTACGCACCTCTAACCACTCAGCCACAGCAGCCGTCACATGGCCATCAGATAAAGTGCCGATTCGATTGCAAGAAATTATGTCACACTTTGGGTTATTCATTAGCTCCCGAATGAAATTCTGCCTCCGAGCCTTGCGTTGAGTTTGGAGTTATCCTTCCTGACTTTAGTTGATCACTGTGCCAAAAACTTTGCGATGGTTATGCCGGCTGCGAAGCCAGGTACTTATATTACCGATTTCAGTCAATTATCAGACAGATCGGGTATTTCAATCAGTCTCATAATTTTCCATTAAAGCGCTTATTGATATACTGATTGATTGGCACTGGGAACTGGGATTCCCAAAGAACGTTAGTTCTTAAATCAGCATGCCTACTGTTGAACTTCGAGATTAATTTCAGTTGCTGTCAAAAACCTGCTGGACCCGTTAGATGAACTTAGTAGACAATTGAGCTTCCATTTGTGGGCTGTGTGTAAGCCCCAGCGAAACAGAGCTGATTATATTCGCCGGTCTTTGAATGCAGGACATGAAGAATTGGTAGTTATTTAATTTTTAACGTCTGCAGCGTTTATGCGCTGATACTGAAGTATAAAGTAGAGAGGGCAAGTAGTCTTCCGCTTAATAGAAAAATGAGATATGGCTCTGAGATGCAAATAACCAATGCGGACAACTCGAGAAAAAACTATAAAGTACCAACAAAAGTGCCAAAGCTGCAATCCATCAAATGCTGGACAGTCTAAGAGTAGTTATCGAGAAGATTCCACCTCATTGACCTCCATGTAGCTGCGACAGAAGGGGTCTTGTGAAATATTTAATCTCACTGCTTGAACTCCGATAGGAGAGTAAGATTAAATATTAAAGAGAGATCCGGATTCGTGAGCCTAAGGAGTTCCCTGGACATTTCCCAATTCACTCTCAGAATGGCCTCTCAATGTACATTCCCTGCTTTTCCCCCAGCGTTCGCTGAGTTGACCCGAGGCCCATATTTTCAAGAGAAGTCCACAAGTAGTCAAGGCAAACCCTACTCTCCCTTTTCTTGGCGATATTGGATGGAGTTTGGTGATTCTAGCCAGTTCATCAGAAACACAGTTTCCTGCGATACCACTAGCCCCAATAAAAGTCTGATAAGGTAATATGCAGACACAACCAAAAGTGAACTAAGGAATTCTCTATCAAGCCTCGAGCGTACCTTAAACGATCCAAGGGCTTTTACTGACACTTGGCTGCCTGAGTGGATGTTAACCTCCCTTACCGCCAACGTGCACGAGAGCAGGCTACTCCACTTGGTCATTCCTTCGCAGTGGGGGCCTCAAAATCCTCTGCTTCCACCAGCGGGTTCCGAGTTGAATACTTTCAGACATGAACGAGCCAGCAGAGCCGCTGTATTTTAATTCGCTGCACTATGTCTATGTCGTTTTAAAGCTTATAAAGCTCATCACTCCATCGTCTGCGGTACTCGCCGTCACCAATGCGTAAATGCCCATAAATCTTCCGCAAAATCTTTCACTCCAATACTCCAAGAGCCGGCTCAGAAATTTCAAGGGCAAATAATTGAATAAAATACTGATTAGCATTCGNCCTATGTCTATGTCGTTTTAAAGCTTATAAAGCTCATCACTCCATCGTCTGCGGTACTCGCCGTCACCAATGCGTAAATGCCCACAAATCTTCCGCAAAATCTTTCACTCCAATACTCCAAGCGCCGACTCAGAAATTTCAAGGGCAAATAATTGAATAAAATACTGATTAGCATTCGTGCTAAATATTTCCTTAAAATATATTTGCTATGTAAGTTGATCAGCCTTATCATAATCTCATTAGCGTTATAAATTAACGCTATCTTTTAGGGATAATAAAAAAAGACTTCAAGCGTCAGCGCAGTGTATATCTCAATCATAAAAGGTTCAATTTTGAATCGCTTTTAGAAACTAAGAAAGCTTTTAAAGCAAATACATACTCAATTGCAACCAACACATTTTCCCTCATATCTTTTCTTTACAGTTACCGTTGTTGCTCGCGGCTGTTATACCGATCTGGCACCCAACTACCGTGAGAAATGCGACTTAGCCGATCATCCAGAGTGTGTGAAATGTTTCGGTAATCGTTGCAATGACAAAGGACGTGCCGATTTCAAATGTATCGAATGCAAGTCGATCGAGGTAAGTGGTTTAAGTGACATACGTAATTATATAAAATTTTTGCTTATTGGGTTTCCTATTTCATCCACCACGCAGAACAAGAAGTGTGCTACCGATACTAGCGACTTAACTGCCGTACAATGTCCCATACCCACTGCACAAAATTCCTATTGCTATGTACGTGAATCGAGCGAAGAGGGCACTACCCGTGGCTGCTTTGTACATTTGCGTGAGCAGCAGGTGTGTCTCAGTGACCCCAAATGTTCTATGTGTTTGAGCGATGATGCGGAAGCTTGCAACACCTACACAGTGGCTGCACAGTCTACTAGTGGCACCAGTAGTAGCCTAACCAAGGGAAATATTGCTTCTATTGGCATCTTTACACTGCTGGCTTTCGCACCACGGTCTATTTAATATGAATCTAGTCGTCTTATTTTCGATTATGTATTTTTTTTAATCAAATTTTGTAAGAAGTAAAGTATACCATAAAAGCGGCGTAAACACGTTTGCGATAACAAAATGGTATAAAATTTATTGAAAGTATACCAATTATGTACAGTACTGTAAGACGATAATAAATCTAGTTGTTTTATAGGTAACAGGGGGTGTGAGAGTTGGAGAGAGTTTACGGAGTGCACTTTGTACGCTTACGTATTTTTGTTTTCATATTCACACGAGTATTAATGGGTTGCACTTACGCGTTTAACATACGATTTGTAAATATACATAGTACTTAAGTCTTATATTTTTACTTTTCTAATATCCTTTAAAAAAATTATAAAAATTTAAATATATTGAATGCATATAAAACTAAAACTGTATCAAAATATGCATATGAGAAAATCTCACGAGTTGTTAGATTTTTCGACAAAAACGTGTCGAAAATGGTGCATACAATACAAATTGTAAAATTTTAATTTTTGTTTCGCAAATCGCCGTCATCTTATAATCAAGTATCTTAAACTTTTAAAATGAAAAAATGTTAAATATCAAAAATTACAATATAGCTGCGTCAGATATTCTGCATGCTTAATTTTTGTTTTTTTAATTTTGTGGTTCCCTTCCGAAACTTTACAGATATGTTGTATTTGGTGCCAACTTTCATTGTTTCTAATATGAACATTCTATCTAAAACTTCCCAAATTTATTATAAAAAAATAGTTATGATTTTTTCAAGTGACAAAGCAAAAATTAGTAATTTCGGTACTTTTTCGCCCAAATAAACGTTTTAAGGTTAAAACTGTTCAAATGCTTGTTTTATTTTTTATGGAACGTATTTCTGGAACTAGTTTTTTTTTCCTGGTGAGAGAAGGGAGTGATACTACAAAAAAAAGAACAACCAGTGAGATTTACTCATATATGTATGTATGTGTTCCAAATATATTTCATAAAGTTCAAAATTCAACGATTTTTCGCAAGATCCCAAGCCCAGGGCCACCTATCGATCGAAATGGGGCTGCAGATGGTGCTTTTGCAATATAAGTAACTCAATTCCAACGCCATCTATCGGATACAAATTTTGCCAAAAACTTCTAAAAAAGGTTATCAATTCATCGAAATATTTTTCGTTTTTTTTGTAGTACGTTAACTCAAAACTTTGGTTCACGTGAATCGTTTTCGTTAATTCTTTTGCAATCATTGGATCATGAAGAAATTAATGGCGCCACTAAATTTTTATAAAAGCATCGAAGTCGGTTGTATTTTTTGATTCAAAATTACTTTTTTTTTATTTAACGGGGATATCCGCAGTATGAAACAAATAGAATTTAATACTAGATGGTTTTTATATGCAACTCGCCTACAACGCAATTTGTATTATTTGGCAAATATCTCGGCTGCAGCCGTATATATTCATTCTACCCAATCATCACTAAGAGCCACAAGGAGCCCATGTGAGTATAAAAAAAATAATAACGAGCAGAATTACGAAAAGCATGACAACCATACTTTTTAAGATTTTTCTAGGGATACCAACGGAACCAGTTTCTATTGTACACTTGCAGCTGAAGTTTTAAGTCGAGTCGTCTATACTACGGTAATAGGAGACGAGAACTTTCACAAACAAATTTTTTTTTTCAGCTTTAAATGAAATTGTTTTATACTTGGAGGCACCCTGTTCTGTGAAAACGTAAATTGGTAAAATTTTTCTTCACATTCCATAAAATTACGATTCTGTTAAAAAAAAAAAAAAATCAATTAATCCTCAAAAAGTTTTGTGGCCGTGCAGCAGAAGAGTTGGGAATTTTGCTAAAAAAAATGTATCTTGTGATAAAGAATATCCGTGTTTTCAACTTACAATAATTTACCAAAGAATTGCGTGCTAGATAATAATGGAAAGTTTTTGGTGAGTGAGAATCGCATAAAATGATGAAGTGAAATGAGTTTGAATTTTTCATTTTCAATTCACCATTTCATAAAACGAGAATTTCCCCCTTGCAGGGTGAGTGAATAGCTTTTACCAAACCGGTTTCCACCATTTGTTGTTTGTTTTATTTTTTGATATCTATAGGCGGTTTTTTGAAATCTTGAGATTTCGAATATCAATTTAACCGGATTTTTTATCCAACAAACCGGTTTTTTTATGTCATAAAAATTTTGACCCCTGAATAAAAGGTTTGAGTTTTCCAAAGTTTTCAAGACTTTTTTCAATTTAGGGGATAGGGGTTTCCCTTTTTGTTTTAATATATCCATTGTGACACAAATAGAGAGATCCACACTTTTACTCCACCTCGGAAAAAGCTCTTTTATGGCAGAAGTACACTCGAAGGTTTGCGATTGTCTGCAGAGAGACGAGCGTATTAAAAAAAAAATTGCTTTGATGTTGCTGAGACCAGAAATTGAGCTATGGACCTCCCGAGTGGCAGTAAAACTCGGATGCGGCGGCTAGAGCTCTATTCAAAACCGAAATAGTCAGAAAAAATGCAGTAATGTATTTAAGAATTGAAATAAGACCGGACTTCGATTCCTCACTGATTTTTATTTGTTTTACTTTTGATCTAAAAAAAATCTTTGCAATAATCTTGGTAAGTGGCTATTAATTTCAAATTATAAAACCGTATTTTTTTTTTAATTAAAATTTTTCGAATAACTCGCAAACCGGTTTTGGAAAGAGGCTAATAATCGAACGTCCTACTAGTTAGGTATCCCTGGTTGCATAACGAGTCGTTTTTTTAGGAACCAGGGTGCATATTGCTAGCTTAGAGTGGAAAGTTGCTAAGTCCACTTTTTATGAAAACTCATATTTTAATACAGGAGGCTAGAGAAATTAAAGGTGCATCGTTTCGAAAAGGATAAAGGTCCTTGTTTTCTCGTTTATATTCAATGAAAGGAAAATTTGCTAAGTCCAAAAGAAGCTCCGAAAATTCGATGAGGCTAAAATAGTGCGAAATCTTTTATTAAAGATCGAATCCCTTTGATTCGTATGTAGTTTTGCTTTGCTTTAAACAGGCAAAATTTTTGTATTTCAATTTTTCGAAATACTTGAAGAAAATTGCTCTGTATTACTTAGTCCATAGTAGCATATCGGACCAAGCCACTAATATGGGCCCGTTAACTTAAGACCAAGTTGGTTATTTTTGAAGCACTAGCTTCTGACGTCATTCAATGTGCAGCTCTAAATATCGCCTAATTTCTTCTTGAGAAAGCTGTATGTTGTTGTGGATTACGCTTAGATAATCTTTTCAGACTTGTCGATATTTCATTCAAACTCATTTGAAATTTCTGCAGGGTTGAAGTTTGTCGACATTATGAGTGTGTCATTAGCGAGATGTTGGGATGATTATTTCGGCTGGGATTGGCTCTTCACCGTAGAATACTGGAGCGAGTTTCGTATATACTTGTGTAGTCTTCATTGAACTTTACCTTTATTTACAAGGTGTTACACTGACTATGGCTGGTCGAGTAATTCACCAACTGCATATTCTTTAAAAAAAAAGACATTTCTACTGTACTTCCCGCACCAAAAAAGCTTTATCTCGGTTATTTTTACATTTTAAGTTTTGGGTGGCTTTGGAAAGAAAAATATTTATACTATTTATTTAAAGAAATAATATTTCTTGATAAATTATTTGTAAAGAAATTTTATCAAGATTTCTATCAACAAAAGCTCCCATCGCATTCTGTGTCAATATTCATAAAATAAAAATCTCTACGATTTCCTCTAGAGGGGAACTGATTTCCATATGATTGGAACTTATTTCATTGTCAAATATGAAAAATATGAATTTAAAAGCAAAAAAGCTTTTGACTGCCGTCACCGAGTAGGTATAGATGTCGGCTATAAATTCTGTGTGTCCCAGGTTCAAATGCCGGCACACGCAGATTTAAATGATAGAAACNGACCGAGTAGGTATAGATGTCGGCTATAAATTCAGTGTGTCCCAGGTTCAAATGCCGGCACACGCAGATTTAAATGATAGAAACAAAATTTTTTATATAAAAGTTTTATAATTTTGATACGAAATTTCAATTTGTAAACGCTGTTAATGGCATTTTCAATATTGATAATTTATCAAGGAAAGAGCTTTTGATTTCTGTGCTAGAATTCCAATTCTTAATAATATAATATATATAATAATAAATTGACAAATTATAAAAAAAAATTTATTTATCAAGTGCACAGAATCGGGCTATAAATATATGGATAAATTTGGAACTAAATCAGAAATTTACACAAAATTTTATCATTCTTATTCTTATTATTCTTATTTAACATGTTTTGTCAAAATTTCAAATAAATAAATAAATAATAAATTTGGTTATTACTTCGAAAAAAATGTTTTATTCCGAGTACTATTTATAGAAATCAATAGACAAATTTTCAAGTTATAAAATCACTTCGATGAAATTTCTCAGAAAATTTGAGTCAATTGGATTGGATATAAGGTTTGAATACTTTGTCTAGAAAAATTGTAATTTGCCTCTTTATAAAAATGTAAATGAATGGTACTAGTTTTACTCGGAAGTAATGATTACAAGAGACTATTTTCTTTTGAAATTTTTAGCAAAAAATGTTGTAGAAGTGAAAAACTAATAAAAATTGGTGTAAATTTCAGATTTGTTCCAAAAGTTTTCCACTTATTTACAATGCCCTTAAAAAACATATCCTTTCTTTTAATAGCGCAAATATGCTTCTTTCCTAAGCCATATACAAATTTGCAATTGGATAAAAAACAACCGAATTAAAAATTGTTTAGTGCCGGAAGTCATGCGACAATGGTTTTTTAAGAATAAATAAGATCAGAATTTGAGGGTGTTAGAAAAATTTTGAAAACAGTTTCGTGAATTACTCGGCCAACTCTACGACCTGTACTAGGTCACTTAAAAAGTTCGTGGATTTTTTTTTTGTGGTAGGTAAAAATTTTTCGAGTGGCAACACTGGTGCCCACAGTAAAGAGTGATGTGGTGGGAACAGCCGAGTGAGATATAGGTATATAATAAAAGTCTTGCAAAGCAGAATAGGCTCAACCCACGGTTTGAGCTATTTAGCCTCATTGCGGAAGTCGTAAATTATGCTAAATTGTACGACTCGACAACATTGGAATTGTCTACTGTCATGCATACAGAAATAAGTAAACGACGAAAATCGTCGAAAAATATGCAGTGCTGCCAAATTTTTCCATATTAATACACTAGTCGAGTGGAAATTTTGGGCGATGGCGTGAAATTTTCGATACAATTCGACTCTCGAAGAACGACTTGCATTCGGCACGACTCTCGCAATGAGGCTGATTATTGTATTACACAAGACTTAAGATTTTATAACTTACTGTTAGGCTTTAAA